CTGTTTCTCAGTGTGAAGCAGAAGCCTGCAGGACGGCACTAGAGGACAGTACACATTCCAGGGAGAGGAGCAGTCGGGTTTGCCAACCAGTCTGAGAGAGGAGCAAGGTGGGTGGCAATTACAGGTGTGTCTCAGTAGCACCCATGTCAATGGGCCTTAGAGGAAGGCAAGTGGCTGCATGTGGATCCAGGGTGCCTCTCTGAGCCCGGCACCTGCCTATCTGTGTTGGGCACTGGTCCCCAGGCAGCCAAGACAGGGGAACACCATGTCTACCAGCCTCAGTGGGTAGCAGAGCTCCAGGTATTCAGTCCTGCTGTGCTCAGAAATCTATAGGCATGCAAGGACCTGCATGTGAAGCTCAGATACTGGCAATGGGTGGTATCAATGGCACTGGGTGTTCTAGAGCTATATGACAAGGACAGGGAGGCAAGGGAAGCCCTGCAATTCAGATCCTGTCATGTCTGCACTATATTCAGTAGTCCGAAGATCACAAGGGATGTCCTCATCTGATAAAAACTGACCAGATAGCTCTTATCCTACTTCTTACCAGACAGCAGTTTTTCTCTCCTCCCATCCCTGCAGTTTGATGACAAATGCCTCTTTTCCAGTGAGACCATGATGTAAAGGACATGTGTGGAGCTGTCATACTCTCCTCCCAGTACTGGTCCACTGGGACACCATTAATCCACCTTTGCTGTGACCAGAAGTGCACCAAATGCACCCCCCTCAACCCACTAACACATGTGCAGCACGGTCCTAGGCAGGACTGAGACACTCCTGTTCTATTTGCAAGGGGAGTCCCTAGACTCCAGCCATAAGGCTCAGAGCCCAGCTTGGGAAGGATGCCATAAGAGACAAAAACTGAGGAGGTCCCCCCTTTCATGTTTTGCAACAGGCATCCTCACAGCAGCTTTTACCATGGTACCAAGAGAGCATGCAGGCACCAGGATGGGTCTGCTGCAACAGAGGTACACCAAGAACCTGCTCCACGTGCTGATTTTACTGGAGGCTGTTGGGACTTTGGCCTTGATGTCCTATGCACTGCTGTATGAAGCCGGAAACCTGGTGAACCTCCCTGACAAATGCATTGGCTTTTACAACTTCTGCCTGTGGAATGATACAGCTGGGGAGCTGCAGTGCCTGGACGCCAAGCACCTACAGGCAATGGGCATCAGTCTACTACAACTGGGACTAGCCAGGGTTTGTGTGTATACCTGCCTGGTCTTCATCCTCTTCCACCTCCCTTTTGTTTTAAATGTGATTTGCACAGAGCAGAGAGAAGAATGGAAGATGATCCGCACCATACCCTTCATCAATATGATAATGCTGTCTGGAGGCCTGGGTATGTTTATTTTACAAACCTCAGAGTGGATTCATCCCTCTGATTTCACTGGAGGCTTCCTGGCACTGCTTGGGACTCAGGCTCTGCTACTGCTCCAGACTCTCACTACCACTGTGTACCTCAGCTGGGCCAACCACAAACACATATTCAAAACCATTTAGCTGAGGAGGCCCTAAGATTTGACAGTGAAGAAGATGCAAGAGCTATTTTAAAAAGTAATCCAAACAGAGCTTTACTCCTTAGCAAAAATCTGATTCCCAGTGCAAAGGCTCATGTCGAGCCATACTCTGGCATGATGCTGTGCGCAACACTCCTGCATCAAGCTGGCAGCAGACACCAACAGCCACAGCACAGAAACTTCCCAGGTACAACAGGGTGTAACTCCCCTCAGTTTGGGGCGCAGATCAAAGTGACAGCACTTCTGGCCTCAAAGAGCAGTGACGGTAGCAGAACTAGCATGCAGTGGACACAGCCCTCTGCTCATACATAGTATAAGTAAAAAAAGTTGCTAGTATCTCATAGTATGTGATTAAATCTGTAATTAACTAAAAAAATGCTTTTAATACCGTGCCCTACCATATAACAAAGATAAAGGGAGTTTAAAAACAGGATCTGTAGATAATGTTTAACTAGGAACTAACAAATGTTAAGGAAAATGTAACCAAAGGTAATTTCTTTGTAAGAAGACTAGATATATATCATTTTAAATAACTAAGCAGCCAATCAACAACCAGCCTTCAAGGCTGTGAAGAAAGCCATTTATGACAATACAGAAATAACACAGAAAGAACCAGTTTTGGAGTTTGAAAACAAGATACCAGACTGAGCATGCACCAACTAAGAATGTGCAATAAAAGGACAAGTGATGAGCGATTAAATGACCACCAAAACCCTTACAGGGGGCTGTAATAACCCCTAAAGGACATTAGATGGCAGAAAAGACTGAAATATTAAACTATGGTTCATATAATTTTTCAAAATGGGCGTTTTATGTTATTGATTTTTTCTGTGCAATGAATATGTAACAGCCATGTAAGTATAAGCTGCATTAATTCATCCAGTGCCTGGGAGAACTTGCATAAATAAAGAATGCCTGCTTAACAGTGATACTCTTTGCAGTTGAGTGTATGTGTTTCAAGGGACATAAGGGTCTGTTTTCTCTTGGTTCTCCTGCCTTGGTGGGGATGAGGCTGGTGATGCTGATTTGACTGATTCTTCACTGCCATACATCATCTCACAGCTAGCCTCATATGGTTTGTCAGTCCTCTTTTTAGACTGGGAAGAGGATACTGAGCCATCTTCATCCCTTCCTAGACCCCTATGCACACTGTCATGGGGTCAGCCCCCTCAGGGCAGTCCTGGCCCCTGCCAGTCTGCTCCTGCAAGTCTTCCTCAGCTTTGGAAGACTGCTGGAGTCTGGAGGCAAACTCAGCACCAGGCCCAATGGGAACAGGCTGCCAGGCCCCACTGTAGCTGTGACAGAGGTCCCCACAAGGACAAGGGAGCCCGAAGGCTGAACTGTGACCATGTAGCTCGGCCAGCAAAGGTCTTCCAGGTCAGCAACTCCATGCTCCCCTCCATGCCCAACCCCAACACACCAAAGGGATACTCACAGAAAACACACGTGTCCTCTTTAATCTGTCCATGCTCTGAAATGTGAAACAGAAACAAACACATCCTAATCTGGAGCCAAATCCCACCGAGCCCAGCATAGATTGGGAGAACTGAGTACCTCTTTTCTTTCCCCCTCTGGCCTTCCTGGCTATCCTACCAGCTACACAGGGCACCAACACAGCAGATGGATGCACGGTCCTCCTCCCACGGTTCTCAGGGCCGCGGGAGGAGACACCCTCCCCATTGTACCCTCTTCTCTTGAGAAGTCAGAGATGTTAGCTGAAAAAGATCTCCCTGACATATTTCAGGACATCGTCCTCAGAGTTCTTCCTATCTGTCCTCTCTGCGTCAGCACCAGCACCAGCACCAGGAGGGCATGGAAGTGCCGGCCCGTGGTCACTGTCTCCATTCCTGTTGGCCATGCTTCCAGGAGCCTCGTTTGGTGTTGGCGGGAGCTCCTGCTCCTCTTCGCTGCTGGACCGTGCATTCTCGTCACCTTCCTCGCACTGTAGATTCTGACCAGAGGGAAAAAGACAAGTGCCGGCCGTGCATGGCTTCACGCCGGGAGCACCATAAGGAGCAGGAGCGCAGCCCACCATCCCCTTGAGCCTCGCCAGGCCCCGGGCCCGCGGTTCAGCTCCGCGGCGCCCGGCAGGGTGCAAAGGCAGCCGCGCTGCTGGGACAGAGAGCAGGGGACCGGGAAGGGCATGCGGCACCCGGCAGCGCCTCCGACCCGCCTACAGAGGGGCCGCCGGGGAGCCGCGGGCAGCAGCGCTCCCTGCCCGTCCTCCGCAGCCCTGCCGTGCTCCGGTACAGTCAGAGCCGCGTCTCCACCTCCGGAGGTCCCGGCTCACCTCGGCCAGGATCGCCAGGGCCACCTCCACCAGCTCCGCCTCGTTCATGCAGTACAGCGCCGCCGGCCTGGGCAGTGCACAGGGGACGCTCAGCGCGGGCGGCGCCCGGGCTCGCCCCCGGGCCCGCCGCCCCGGCCCAGCGGCGCTACCTGCGCCCCGCCGCCCGCCGCCGCCGGGCCCTGGGCGCCGGGGCCGCCGCCGCCCGCTCGTCCCCCGCCGCCCCCATCCAGGCCGGGAGCTGCCGCCGCCGCGCGCCCGCCGCCATGCCCGGGCGGGGCGGGGCCGCCGGGGCGCCTTCCGCCCGTCGCACCGAGGCTGCTTCCTCGCCCGACCGGGAGTGCGAGCAGCTGGGAAAGCAGCCCCAGGCCGCGCTGAAGCCCAAGTCACGGCAGAGCCCCGTGTTTGATCAGGCAGGCAGGCAGGCCGCGAGGCCGCTCGTCCCACGACATTCCGCCAAGGAGTAAACGTGGCTCTAGGCCAGCTGCGGAGCAGACAGCGCGCTTGGAACGACGCGCGCCAGGCTCCGAGCCCCGGGGCAGCCTGGCGGGCCGGGCCCCGCGCCGCCCCCGAGCGCCCGCTTACGGCGCCGCCCGAGCGCGCTCGCCGCTGCCGGGGCGCCCTCTGCAGGCCCGGGCGCGCAGGGCAGCACCGCCGGAGCGGCGCGGACTCGTGCCGGGAAACGGGGAGAGAGGGGAGCCTGGGCCAAGGATGGAGTGAAAGCCCTTCTGGGAATACAGCATGTTGAGCGTTGGTCTAGCAAAACAACATGTTCATTCCTTCCCTCCAGGCTTCTGGCACAGTATCAATGTTGTGCTAATGCATCATTTTGCCTAGCAGCCTTAGACTGGTGCATGTTTTTTATACTTTCTTTCCCTGTTTGGGGGGTTTTGTTTTGCCTTTAGTCCTACTTATGAAGCAAACCTGAAAGTAGTCTCTCTCCAGAAATCTCCATCGACCCTCTATGAGGGCTGGGAGATAACATCTGGAAGAAAGCAACGTGTGGTAGGTAACGTTCAAGACCGGGTTCAATGGGGCTTTGGACAACCTGGTCTAGTGGAAGGTGGCCATGCTCATTGCAGAGTTGGAACTAGAAGAGCTTTAGGTCCTCTCCAACCCAGACCTTTTTGTAATTTTGCAATTCTAAATTCTAAAACCCCTATGTAATGTAGTCGATGCTGCAGGGTTTGGAATACAGCCACAATCATTCTTGGCCTTTTCAGAGGCAAACAAAGGCTCCCGTTTGAGAGCTCTCTAAACTCTAAGACCAACTCTGGGAATTCCTGAAGCCAGTTTGAAGTCAGCACTGGTTTTGAGGGGACATTAGCTCAGACTGGCATGAAGAGCAGCTACACCATTAGTATCACATCTCACTGAGATGGAAACCCTGTACTTAGATGTTGGTCTGGCAGTGGACCTGTTAATCTTGGAAAATGGAAGGTGGGGTTATCAGATGAGTGTAGTCAGCAGGAGCAAGTTACTCCATGGACAACAGGTGCCTGTAGCATGAACACGCCTCTAGTGAGGATTTCAATATCCAGCAGTGTTGCCCTTGAACAGCTGTCTATGAGTATGGCTATCCATATGGCTCATGAATGGCTCTTCATTTTCCAGCAGGGTGTATGCTCTGCCAAGGAACAACAGTACCAACAAACTCCCAACACAGGCCATGGACATAAGCAGCAGAAAGCTCCATGGCAAAGTGTAAGCAGATGGAATGTATCTGCTTAGTCCATTCAAAGACTATGCAATACCTGAGCACAGCACTTGCCCTGATGTTGGGGGGCTTAGAGGGAGAGACAGCTTCAGTGACAGAGAGCCCTATACAGGGCCAGACTGATCTTGGCCTCCCTCCCGCTATCCACCATCAGGTAGCTGCTAAGCATTATGTAGCTTCTGAACTCTAACAGAAGTATTTAAAAGTCTGACTCAAGATTTCTGCTCTGGTTGATAGCAGATACCTTTGGCAAGGTAACACAATACATCCAAGCAAATGCAGTTATTTTTGGTCCTGGATGTCTGGTTCACCCTGGTATGCAGGTTTGGTGCTGGAAGCACCTGCTGAAAATGCAAGGGCTTTTTTGCATAGAAGACTTGGCACATCATTGCCCTCACCACCCTCCATGTTTTGCAGCAACTGATGAACAAAGCACAGAATTCAAATGCAAGGGAATATTTTCTTTTAACGGGAAAAAAAAAACCAACAAATAAAAACAAATTAACAAAATTGTAACAACAAATGTTATACCCAAAGAATACTCTGGTTTCTCATCAGCCTTTCCAGTTTGAGTCATCTTATTGTCATGCACTGTGCTGCCTCATGCTTGCTTCCTCCAGCCTCACCTTCTTCTGCAGAACCCTGACATGACCACAGCCTTTTAGCCATGTGCTATACTCAAGACTCCCTAAGAGAGGGAAGTCCAGCTGCCACAATGGATTAGTGGAGACTTATTTTTCAGTGCTACCACTGACCCAGTCCCATACTGGCATTCTGTTGCACAGCGGTTTGGCAAATGTATTTATCAAGAGGCAAAAGCTACAATGAGAAGAGGGACTTTGCTTTGCCTTCTCTCCCATGCAGTTTGTTCCTGTGAGTTAACACTGGTTTTGTCATGTCTATTGCTCTTTCCCCCTTCAGTACTGTCCAGGTTAAGACTTTTGAGCCAGTAAGGTTGTTAATTTAATTTTCCCATCCATAGAAGCAGTGAGGCAGGTCCCGCAGTCCATGGCTGTGCTCCAATCCACTGTGACAACAGGAGCTCGGTGTCCTCCCAGGGAAAGGCAGCTCTCCAGAACCTTTTCCTCACCATTTAACTAAAACGAAGGAAAGTGTAAGATTTTAAGGAGGTAAGTTTCTGCAGTGGAGGCAATACACCCGACAAGACAAGCCAAAGCCTGATAGACTCTGTATCTCTCATCTCTAAGAACATGCATAAGTAAGCAGAAAATCAGAGAGATACTGAGATGTGTGTAGCACACACATGAAAGGAAGCTTCCAGTCTCACTACAGAAGCACGTATTCTCAATCAGCTCAACTTTTGACATCACCTGAACTGCAGTAATTGAACAAGGCAGGCTAAGAGCATACACTGATGAGAAGCACATAAGCCTAAGCTATAGCTCATGTTCAAGTGCTCTGAGTGCCCCAGGTGCAAAGTAAAAATTCCATCTAATCTGCCTTGCAAGAGCATGAACATGTGATCAGTAACACTTGTTACTGAAGCACAGAAATTTGAGCACTCAGAACCATTCAGCCTTATTCTTCATTTACTTTCAGCACACAGTAAGGGAAGAGGATCAGGCTGGGTCTAATACAGAATCAGCAGGCACAGAAGGCAGATGGAACATCAGCACCAGTCAACAAGCATACATTTTGCATTGAACTGGCATGCAGCCATATATTAAAACAGTAATTAAAATTTTGTCCTAGTCACTTGGCACTAAAAAGCTAAGCTTTAAAAAGGAGCACAAATACTTCAGCTACATACATAGGACCCAAACACTTGCTGTACACTAGACACTGCTAAAATGCACACTGCGTGAAACTGAGCAGCAGCTTTGACAGAGCAAGGATGGATATGTACTGCTTAAGTACTTCCAGGGGCTGCTGCTGTACACTTGTAATTAATAGAAGCTTGTATGGATACTTAAGGGTACTCCCCATCACTTCTCAGACTTACCTTAAAAATTACTCCCCCAGTAGAAGAACATGTTAACATGTAATTGCCCTCAGAGTCAAAAGCAAAAAGCCGTCCTCGTGGGAATTGGACTTGCTTGTAGCCACTGTACCCAGACAGAATAAAAGGACCTGTAGCTTCCCTGGGAAGGTCATACTCGGACACCTTCAAGCCACTTTTATGGATATTCCACTGAATAAACTAGAATGAGAAAAACAGATTACAAAAGCCTGTAATTAAATTAACTGGGATGCAAGTGGAGTTGCCTTTTTTTGCTTTTAAGCAAAATAGCGACATTCCTCACAAACAGAAGATGGCATTTTGACATCTATATCTAAGTGGATATATTAATAAAACACAGGCTGCAAAGACTGTAAGAGTGCCTTCTATCCAGGTAAAGATATACTCTGCCTTCCTCAAACACTACTGCCTTTGTATGCTTCCACACTGCATGCAGTACTCTGGTGAAAATTTGCTTTCCCAGCCAAGGTCCCTCTCTGAGTGACACCTCTACCGCTGAAGACTGAAGAACTGCAGAAATCAAAATGTGTATTATAAACAACGGGGAGCTGCTGATGAGATTTATGCAAAGTGGTCAAGGATATGCTTTCCTGTGCATCCCAGATTTCAAATGTGGTGATCTCAGGGGCAGAGAAAGGTCATCCTCACATGGACTATCTAGGAAAGGGATGTCACCAACAGCATGATTTGCACGCAAGGTCAAAGATAGCTCCAACTATTAATACATATTAAACTATTAATACTCTCTGCAGATTGCATGGAGCAGGGTGGTACTGCACACCTAAGACTGCAGTTAGCAGCCCACATTTCATCCAGAATCTGAGTGTATTTTTACAATTGTCCCCACCATATGGAGAAGACTCCAGAAGTGACCTCTCTGCCAGCTGACCAGCAGGAGGTCATCCATAGCCTACCTTGCCATCCTCGCCTATGCTGTAGACTGTGTTCTCATCATAGCTGAACTCGACGGAGTAGACCTCCCCATCATGTGCCTTCCAGCTCATGGCGCACTCATGCTGCTGCATATCTGAGGGGAGAACCAGTACTGAGCACTTCTCGTACTCAGACAGAGCTGAGGTGAGGAGAGGGAGGCCTTTTATGTTCCTGAGGTCTCTGTGCCAGCCCTCCAAACCACCTGAGGGAGCCCAATCCAGTCCCAGCACCCTGTGCCTATACTCCTGCTCTCACTTAGGCCACAAATATCATTGTCTATAATTACTCAACTTTACAGGACTGCTCACATGCTCACTGTCAACTGCAGGCATTCTGCATCCAAGCACCACTGGCACTCCTCCTCCCCTTGTTATCCTGCCCATCCTCCCAGCTGCTGACAGCTCTGTCCTCCCAAAGACCTGGGACTGCAGCCTCCACCTGTGCCAGAAGCAGATTCCCCATTCAAAGGTAGGAGGCCTGAACTGCCTTTATTGCAAAGACAGGCTGAAGAGAATAAAAACCTGAGAAACACAAATTGCTCCCAAAAGGAGGAATGATGGGAAGCCCTTGCATTTAAATGGAAGGTCTCACATAAATTGCTTTCCTCATGACTCAGCCTCTAGTGGTACTGCTATCT